CCTTGAGCATGAACAGCAGGCCCGGGTGCCAAACTCGATCAAAAGCTTGGCTTACGTCAAGAAAGGCTCCGGAACAGTACTGTCCCATCTCAAGGGAGGATGAAATAATGTCTACCACGCGGTGACACTGCTGGACAGTTGAGTGGCGGTTGGGAAAACCAAATTGATGGTCTGGGATTATGTTTTGAGAATTTAGAACCGGAAGAATTATTTTCAGTAGGAGTTTTTCTAAAATTTTACCCAAAGTAGGTAGTAGACTTATTGGCCTATATGAAGGAGTAAAATGTGTTGGCTTTTTTGGCTTAGGGAACATTCGAATATACGAGTGCTTCCAAGCTATAGGGAAGTAGGTTGTACGAAGAACAGAATTAAATAGGTATGTAATGAATATGATGGCCTTTTTGGGAAGGTGTTGGAGAATTTTTGGAGTAATAAGATCAAAACCTGGAGCATTCTTGGATTTTAGGTGTTTTCATTAAAATTAAAATATTAAGAGAGATCGCTTGACGAATAGAATGAGGGAGGGAGTTCCAAAGTTTGAGGCGCATATCAGAAGGATCTTACGAAGGAGTGGGTTTTGTTTTACGAGGAATATGGCCAGTGGGGGGCGATGTACTGAGACCGACTGGTATGAAAACAATGAAAAAGGAAGGATTCTAGGATGTACTGACATCTGCAGGATGGAGAAAGGCAAGAAAGATCCGAATGTAGACAAGGATGTGGCACAGCAGTTCATGATGCGCTTGAGGCGCCTGCTCTGCCCCTCCGAGAGCTACACAACTGTAATCCAACAAGGGAAAGATAAGAGAAGATACTAGGAGTTTAAGGCTGGAAAATGTAAGAGAAACCAGCACCGACGAAATCGTTTGAGGGAGGCTATACAGCTGCAGGAAATTTGGGAAATCTGATGGTGCTTGGAGAGGTTTTGGTCGAGGATAATCGCAGGTTTTGAAGGAGGTACGAAAGGGGATGGGGTGGTTATTTATAATGATAGAAGGGATATTGGAGAAGGATTTGAGGGGATGCCTAGATCCGATGATTATGGCGAGCATTTAGACGGATTGAGGTTGAGAGAATTTGTCTGGGCCCGTTCATTAATGGAATTAAGGTTGTTCTGGATCTTTAGGATGGTCAATTGTACGTCTGAGGGATGGAAGGATAGGTAAATTTGGTAGGGGTCTGCATAAAGGTGGTAATTACAGTTGTGGATAGAGTCGGAAAAGACGTTAATGTATATACCAAAAAGGATGGGAGATATACTAGAACCTTGGGGAAGCCAGATTTTAATGGGAGGAAGGAGGATGCATTCCGTTGGGAATACAGAAGGGTTGGTGAAATTGGAGTGAACCAACGAAGAGTACTATTGGCGCAATATTTTATATATATATATATATATATAAAAGTTAAATAACGTATATAAGTCCTCCCCCCCTTTTTTTTTACTTTGTATCGACATGGGGTCGGTTTGATGTCACGTCCGTTCGCGGCTTGAATTCGCGGGGCGAACATGGTGTTTTGTGTGTTAGATTTTTTATTTTGAGGGAAATTAGGATATTGGTTGGAGAATCTTGCTGGGTGTCTACTAGGTGGTTGAAAGCGAGGTTTCCTTGACGGATAATTGTCTGGTTTCTGAAAAGTTTTCAAGAACTGAAAATCATTCGTGAGGATATTTAATGCTTCTGTGAAATTACTTGGATTCCTAGTCCGCATAAGTGAGCCTAGAGGTTGTTTTAGACCACTTAGTAAGACACGGAGTGCGACAACTCTCGCATAATCAATTAAAGCTTGAAGAGGATTGTGGTTTTTAAAATATGCTATTTGTAAGTTTAAAAGGTTTTGTACTCGTTGATAGAACTCATACGGTTTTTCGTTTTGTTGTGTTAGTCTAGAGACTTCAATCTGGATAGTGAATGCGTCCCTTTTGTCGGCGTATCCCTCTAACAATGCAGTTTTTAAATCTGCCCAGTTTGATACGTTACTATTTTCAATCACTTGAGCTGCAGTACCTTTTATTTATTTTTTTTATTTCTTAAGCATGAAAGCAGGTATACATTTTGGAAATTATTAGGGTGGTTTGTATATACAAATATGTTAACTAATTTTTGCGATATGTCTATGAATCGCGTAAGAACGGTTGGGTCTCCATTGAATTCCGGGACCATGTCCAGAAATTCTCTTTTAAATTCTGGGAGAGACATGTTGGATATTTGTTAACAATTAATAAAAATTTTCGTTTTTTAAGAATATGTTAATAATATTACAAATTTAAATGAAATTATTTTAAATATTGCCTTACATAAAAACGAGAGCTTTTACGACCATATTCGCTGGTTCTGAGAGTCTAGAAGTTCGATGCCGTCGTCCGGGAGGAAAGTTCATATACGTTGAACTCTTCACCGATAGTTGATTGTCCGATTGCCGATTAACCGTTGAAACGGAAAGTTACTCGATAATAACTTTCGACCATGTCCAGTCCGACTGCGCCAGTTAAATAATTTCTTTGNATATATATAAATAGAGGGAGAGAGAGAGAGATAATATTTACTATTTACATCTATAACAAGATAGTAAATAAAACATAATATAGAAAAAGAAACCTTAATTTTTGAAAGCATTACTAATCTGTCTTTAGGTTACAAGTATCAGTCTTTTTAGACAAACAACTCGTTTAACAATCAACGGTTTCATCATACATGATTTTTAATTTTTCTATATTAAAGTAAAAAGTGTTTTATTTTAATCGCAAATTTTCTTCTTATATTCCCATTGATTGTATCCCAGGGGTGTATCCTATGGCCCTTCTTACTCACAACATACATGGTTGATTTCCGGTGCTCCCTAACAATATTATATGCTCTTTTGCGGACGACACAGCAATCTAGTCATCTAATCATTATCCTTACAATTCCACTATTTAATCGTTCTCCAGTAGAAGATGAAATGGAATGAAACTAAATGGAAACATCCCAACGAATATTTTTTGCCCTAGCCGAGAGTGGAATTTTTTTGTTTTTTACTTCACTTTTAAGACAAATTGATAAAAAGAAAATTTTTTTAAGGCTTATTTTTCCTAAAGGACGACAAAGGAAAATAGCACTTTATCTTGGAACTGTAAAAATAAATGTAAAACGTACGCGATAGTCCCGATAAGGAGAACGGGCTTAAAGCGACACGGGAAAGTCCAATTACTTCCGCCCCATCCACATGTCCATTAGTATAATAAAAAATTCACGCCGTCACGTCCCACCTGTCGCATTTTATTTACCGGGGATGGGGAAAAAAAGCATAAATGTATTTCTCAAACCGGCTTAGTACACGTCTCTCAAGGATCTTGCAACATTCATGCCCCTGTATAACGTCTTCCAGTAAAAGTCGTCTCCTAACCGCGAACAACGCACATTCAAGACTGAAGAAATTCCATCCAATTTGAATCAAAATCACACTAATAATAAAATCTAAGAAGAAAATATAATTTTAATCCTTCACCGCCGCTCCCCTTTCTATTTACAGAGTTATGAACAATCTCCAATCGAAT